TAACCACATCCTGCTGTTCAGGATCAGGGAGCTGCCGGCATAATTGTTTTTCTACTCCTACCATTTTAGTTATTTATTATTTTATTTTTATCTATTTATTTTAAGCCGCATACTAGTGTTTCTATTTTACCTAAATATTGTTGTATTTTTTTATTTAGTTTGAAGTATTTTTAGATGTTTTTTTTTAATGTAATTCTACAATTACTATTATTTTTAATTTAATTTGGTTTTACTTTGATCTTTACTTTTTCTACAGTACTTTATTCCAGACACACTTTTAAAATATTTATTATTTTGATTTTTAACATTTTATATTTACTTTTAATTGCTTTTGCAGACTTTTATTTAAGCACAAAGAACAATTTAAAAACGTTAAACATGTCCTTCAAGCGCATTACAACAAAGCCAGAACATGGAAATGACATGACACACACTAAAGTTCTTTTAAAGCTCTTTTCTACTCTACATGAGCACTCAAAGCACTTTATACAGCAGTCATATCATAGTGCTTTCTATACATTCAGGCTCCAAATGCATTAGAGAGCAACTTGCAGATCAGTATCTTCACTCTACAGTCTGTATACAGAGCAGCCAGTGATCGGCCCAACTAACCTTCCTAATAGTAGATGACATGGTGAACCCTGTTCTGTTGAAATTGTGAGAGGTAATGGCTCAAACATGCCAGTGTGGTGGTCCTCGGACAGCTTTGCAGACAGTAGTCTGCACATTGTCTTGTTTGTGCTGCTGTTGGTCCATTAGTGACCCGTGAAGAAGAGCAGAGGTCCAACATTCAAAGAGCTGAAATGAAACCAAATGTTAAGAACAATAAACGGTGTCCTCTGCTGCCACTGTTTGTGTTTCTTTGTATATTTGTTGGTCTTCTGTCATTTGTGGGGACTCCACTGCTGCTCCCTTCCCTGTTCCAACCCACCTTTTAACCAATCAGCATTTGATCTATTTGCATTTGTATTGGTCGGTGTGCATAGAGTCTGCATACACGCGCTTCAAAGTTTAAATCATTTATTTTTAGATATTGTAGGTTCTAACACTGACTTTTCAGATGCAGGGAAAACACCAGATGGCTTTTTGAGACACTCATTCACATTAGTGTT